TAATAGGAGCACCTTTCTACATCTCCAAATACACCCCGATCATATGAGTCCATATGTAGAACTTTATTTACTTTCTATAAATGAACCTGGAGTCCGAACTTTTTTAGCCTACCACATAAACCACTAATTACTCATTAGAATCCTCAACTCAAATAACACACTCGGAAATCCGCCTARGTGGTTAGATAATCCTAATCGGTTCGATCAGACCAGACCACACAGTATGATGGAATTAAAAAAGATAGATTTAACCTGTACACAATCTATTTAATCTAAACTATATTCCCGATAAAAAATTAGAACTCCTTAAATCCATTAAGCTCCTTTGATTGCCCGCGATAATTATACATAATTTAGGCAGACTTTGGTGTACCTACATTATACCTGCTAATTGCTTTATCTGTGAATATTATTATTATTCATTGATAAACCTGTGCATAATTATCCGTTGCAGGCAATTTGAAGCACATCAGTAACTTGAAACCGTGGTATCTGTACGACGTGTTGACAGAGAAATACGAATGGAACACGAAGGAGGCCAAAGCATTCTCATCGTTTCTAACACCAATGTTGGACTTGGATCAGGATAATCGAGCTTCGGCGACCCAATGTCTCTTAAACCCGTGGATGTTGGCATAACGTATTCGTCATTCGATTAAAAATTATTATATTATCATAAATAGGTAGTTATAGTGAAATTTCCATTATTATATATTATACATTGTGTGCTTACGAGTTTTTCAGTTTTAAACCAATCCGAAAACAAATGATTACAACACAAACACATAAACACACTACACACATATATATGTTTAATATAATCAGTCAAATAGTACAAACTGTATAAGCTCGTATGTATACTGTGTTTATTTAACACCAATATTATGTTATGTTTAAAATGTTGTAATATAGGTAGAATATACATGTGTATCGAATATGACTGAGGATTTTTTTTACGATCAACAAAGTAAGATGGACATTGTTAGATTTTGTCTTTTGCCCAACTTTCACTTATATACGTATATATATTGAGAATCGACCATAGATACTTAACATTTATTAAATGATACCTATACCCAACTACAGTATTAAAGTTATTTTACTCACAATGTATTAATCTTGAACAAACCGTTATTTCGATGAGCATATAAAATCTTTATAACAATATACAGGATGATTGAGTTAACAGCAAGACAGTAAGACATTCAATATTAATAAGAATGTGTATTATATTTATCAATCAAGCAGTAGTTTTTTAGTATCATTTATATAGAGTGATTCATTTAAGTGGGCACACTAATCATCTCAAAAAGTATTAACTTTTTTTGAATATTTTTTTTCAACTTTTAAGTTTATATTTTTCTAAAACCGTATAATATTTTGATTTTTTCATCCTTATATTTATTGGTGAAACCACTATCAACTTTTGATTTTCAAATGGTAACATATAGTTAAAATATCATTTTTTTTTTTATTTATTAATTTTATTGTACCGAGTTAATACCGAGTATTTTTACAATGTCATAAATTTACAATTTTGATTATATGTTTACATAGTACTTACAATTTTTAATTTTCAATTTTTTTACAATTTTTACAAATTTTTGGATAATTATATGTCCAGAGCCGTGTCTGCAGAATCTGAGGTGTCTTCTTTGGATGAAAGTAGTATTATCCTGTGGTAGCCGTGGTTTTAATCTTAGGTTGACGGATCTTCTGCCGATTTTATATTAGTGAAGTGCTCCGTCAGCTTTGTGAAGTTTTTCGTGAAAATTTTTAAACTGTTGCGTTATCCATGCAGAAAGGTATGGTAATGGTAGGCCCGTATCATTGWRGAGTTGTTTGAATCTAAAATATCATGAATTACCTAATAAATCCATTTTTATTATTAATTTACGTGTCACTATTTTTATTTTTCGTTGATTGGTTTGTGAGATACAACTCCTCAAAATATTGCTAATTTTTACTATTTTTTCAATAATTGTAAAGACCAATAAATATATGRGTGAAAAAAATTAAAATATTATACGGTTTTAGACAAACATAATCCTAAAAGTTAAAAAAAAAGTTAATACTTTTCGAGATACTTAGTGTACCCACTAAAATAGATCACCCTGTCTATTATTACCTTCCAATTCGACCTAAACTTGCTGCCCTTTCTACAATTGGATGGTAAATATGTTGTTTATGATGACATTTATGTGTATTTAAGTCTAATTTTTTAAGTACCTATACTCCTATAATACTTACAACTTATTACATATCACCAGCTATCTTTAACTTTATATTATTTTTGTGGTGTGCTAATTACATTCGAGGCAACATTTTAATTTATGCTGCACAATATTGACAATTTATCTTTTCGTTATCGTAAAATTATTTTATGAAATATATCTTTTCGGATTTCATAGCCCATAGGCGAAATTAAATTGGAGATTAAAGGAATCTATCCCCCTTAAAAAAAAACTTAATTAATTTTACAATCAAAATATCCATAAAAGATATTATATTTGGCCAATAATTATTATTTTTCTTCAATTAAAATGGAGATATTAAAAAAAAGTATATTTAAGTTACATTTTATTATTGGATAATATATTTTAAAAATATTGTACAATTTCGTGGATGATAGAACAATAAATAAGATCTTTCAAAAATAAATATATTAACTTATATAATATAGTTTGTATTTTTATTTTTTTTATTCTGTTGTATTTTGTATATTATAGGCAGTAATATCTAAAATTATTAGTTATTAAATTGTATATTTTAATACATAACGTTAGAAAAATGTCGGGTGTTATGGTGTAAAAGTTTGATKTTTTGTTTTCAGCGTGGTGGTGTTAAATGTAAATTGTAAGAATTTATTAATAAACACATATTATTATTGGAGTCCGGCTGAACTGCGAAGTCACTATGTATAACTGTAACTTAACAATATTCAGCCTCCCCAAGAAAAACTGTAGTTTTTCCCATGYTCTAATTGTTAAACAAAACATTTTTCGTAGAACAATGATAACTATTAGTATAATATTATTGGAACTAAATAAAATCGAATTATATCAACGTTTAAAACACTGTACTTTATTTTTCAATTCGCAGTAAATATCTATGTCTAATTTATATATATATATATATATATATAATATTATAAACCATGTGATTACTGACGAAACCATAAAAACATCATATTATTATTTGTCAAAAAGTATTAATTAACCTATAAGTACATTTTATATTGTATTAGCAAATAGCAATCAAATAACGGTTTTCAAAATTTTATAATTTCTTAAATTTAAATTTTTAATGATCTACAAGGTTAAAAGTATTTACGTATAAGGTCAATATTATATAACTTAACTATTCAATATTTAAATTACCAAATGAGGGTATAAGTAAAAAATACTTAGTATAATATAGTACATGATTTAACTAATTTTAAATTTACTAATAACTGGTTTTAAAATCGAAATAAACTTTTATAATAATAAAATATATTACCATTATGACAATATTATTGGTTAGTAATTAATACAACWGTATTTTACTACTTTAAACGTTTATTTAATTTAAAAATTCAAAAAAATGTTTCATATCAACATATTTACTTATTGTTTCAGAAACTGCTTATAYAACAGAATTTATACGTATATATTATTATAATAAACCAAATACCTTTGCATAAACAATAAACATACATATAAGCCACACATGCATATAAAATTGAAATTCTTATTACACGAATATTTATATTATTCCTAGTGCATAGGCACATTTTAAAATGATGTTGGACCTAATTATTTGTCTTTTTTTTCGTTCACTATTATTTGAGTGTAAGACTTTTATAAACTAAAATCGGGTTTTTAAATTTTTGGAGATTGTAGTATGAGATTATATGTTAAAATAACAAGCCATATCCTACAGTTAAAAGTGTGAAACTTTTTACTTTACTAAACGTTTTTATACATGTTATATGAAGTTCAATAAAATAATGAAATCAACATTTCGTTTTTTGACTTGCATTTGAAATTATGATAATTTATTGAAGTTATATTATTTYCGTTGTTCAATAACGATTTACAGACCGCTACCGAACCTGGTTCTAAGTGAAAACACAATATTGTGATCGTCTATCTCTTTTAAGCACGGTGTGATGTACCGTTTGTCCCACCTAGAAAATCACAT